AACAGCACTGAACTGCTAAAGCACAGAATTATGCATTTCTAAACTAGGTGTAGTGCAGTTGTACGGCGCGGTTGCACACGCCGCCATTTCATGACGCCTAATCCAGCAGGCTGCTACTCTCTTACTTGCCCATACTCTCTACTCCTGGCATACGCCGGCGTACACTCAAACTGTCGTACGCTGACGCAAAGTATGAACGTAGCCTATGCCAGAGGTCCAGGCCCAATTCCTTTCTGGCTCCTTTGCTCATAACTCAGCATTCTTGTGGTAAGTTCCGGATCGCGAACAGCAGAAACAAACAACGCTTATCATACTTAAACAAAAGATACCTTTATTTTGTACAAATACAACAAAGGAACGATAGAAAAATATGATGTTTTCAAAAGCTCACGGAAACACAACCCAATTATTATGTGACAATAACATCAATTATTCCCCTCTCTTCAATAACCCTCAATGAAGTTGCCTGGAAACATCAACAGAAACTTCTTCATCACTTGAAACATAACCACAAAATTCTTCCGACGGAAATCTTCCCAAAAAGTCAGTCTCCGAAAGAGAATTCGAAGTATGAGTCCATTTTTGATAAAGGAATCATGTCTTACTGCGTACAGTGTACATGATACGTTGGGAATCCCCAGCAAAGGTATCATTTGGTCGCCGGAAGGAATATGTCGTATTTGCCTCTGTGGAAAATGATTTCGATTGTTGTTTTTTCTGTTTTTTTTTGTTCGAGTGTTCCCTATATATATTCTTCCTCGCAGGCGTTCGATATTTGGGGGATTTTTGGAAAAACATCGAAAACTGAGAAGAAGCTAGGAAAATGTGGAAATACGGTAGAACCTTTCAATGGATTTTCCTTCCTATACCGAAAGCCGCTAACAAGTTGACTGGCAAGCGACAGATTAACCATGAAATAATGAAGAATCCGCATTTGTCCCATAACTGATGCTCTTTTCGTTTTTGTTTTTCATCTAAAGGCACACGAAAAGGAAGACGAACATCATCTTCGGTTTTTCCCCACATAAAAAGTTTTGCTTCAAAATGTATTTCACATCTCTGGTTTTCTTCTCTCTCCAATTGGTCAATTAAGTTCCTTGGATATTGCACAAATACAGGGAGGATGTGATTTATATGACA